CCCCAAAACCCCAAAACCCCAAAACCCCAAAACCCCAAAACCCCAGGATATCGAAAATTTTCCAAAATAGTTATTGTTAAAATAAGTTAATAATAGATAAAAGTCAATTTTATATTTACATTTAGGTAGTACACTGGTTGTAAATCTCCTGTCTTTTTCTAAACCCTAAATTACTCAAGTCTCTTCTCACATTTTGCTTGACTGCATCATTTATCTTTGGTTGTCTCAACCTTTCTTGTTCCTTATTTACTTTTGCAATAGTCATTTACCTCATATCTTGAATAGTGCTTTCTTCTATTGAAGAAATCTTAGTTTGTCTGCTACTCAGATGTGATTTGATAATCTCTTATTAGCCATCTAGAATTCTCTTCAGTTTTTGGTTTAGTTTCAGCAACTGGTGAGGAGATTTAAATGATTTTTATAGCTTATCCTCATAAATAGCTTTTTAAGACCTAAAATTAGGACTCACATCTACTTGCCTTTTACTTAATTAATTCATCTAAATTTGATCTTTAACTTGATTAATTAGTGTCTTTTACTCAATCGACACTTTGATTATCAAATCCTGTAAGTGTTTTATCGAAACATTAAGTTTGTCCTGACTAGCTATAGTTTATGATGTATGAGATCTTATCTGATCATAAATCTTGCCTAAATGAGACAAATCATTCTAACCCTCTTCTTTTTGAGATCTCGTTTAAGAATAGTTTCTCATGCTGAATGATTACTAATGATCTATTATTGTTGAGAAGTTCTTTTACTAAGCTGTCTAAACCATATTAGCTAGTGTTGTATTCTGTTAACCTAATCTACTTGATAATTACGAATGCACTGCTTTTATATTTTATCTCTTTCTGCTTAGATTCCTAGCTTAATCTTAGTTTGTGCTAATGTAAGTTTAATCACTAGTTCTGTAAACCTATGACTAAGAATTTGATTGGCATTCTGTACTCTAGCTGCAATATTTTTCGTCAGATGACTATACATTTTAACTATTACTTTTGCTTGCTTGATTCTCTGCTTATTTGCTATTGACCTTACTTGATATATTTTACTGTTACTTATACTTAACCAAGAATGACTTAACATTACTTCTAATTGTACTCTGTTTATCTGCACCATTCTATTTTACTTACGATGAAGTAGTAGTATGATTTGAGGGCTTCTACTATTTTTAATTTAGCTGTTTCAATTTAAATTATGGTATCAATTTTTGAAAATTTCTCTACGAAATTCCTGATAATTTTGCTTTTCTTATTTTCTTTACATGCTATACTGTAGTTTAACTTCTTTGATTGGCATTCATCTGCTCCTAGATCTAAATAAGGCTATCTTTCTTTTAGTTTGTCTCTTTGAATGCTTAATTGAGGCCATTTAACAGATCTAATTCAGAATCTCCTTCAATGAAGTCTTACCAAGCAGTAACAATGTCATCACAGTCCTAAACTTCTGTAGTAACTGTAGCTATTTTTTCTGGAGGAGACATGCAATCAAAACTTGGCGTTGATGGTTGAATACCCCTTAGGAAGAGTTCATGTTGCTTTTCAAAGAGAGTGTGAGGCTGATTGCAGAATTGAATAAAGTTCATATTTTGTTACTGGTAGAGTAAAAATTTGAAATTATTAAATCATTATAATCAATAAAGGGTTTAAAATTCTTATTCCATCAGAAATATTCTTAACTTAATAGTTGACCGTAAATTACGAAAGATCGTGAACCTCATTAAATTTTAAGTTTAAGTTACTCCACTAGTACTCTGCTATACTAATAATAATAATCAAATCAAATGAATTAAAACTATATGACATAGCATAGCTAGTAGGTATCTGACAAATAAAGAATGGAATACGATTTTGACAATAAAGAAAACATAGAGAATATTGATATGAGCAACAAGCTTTAGAAATCTTAATCATTTATTCCTCATGAGAACTCCTCTCTGCTTGAAAACTCTACCAAAGCTGAATCAATAAACTTCACATCACCTATAATTAAAAAGCGAAAGACTTTTATTGATAGACACTAGATCTTGAACCTTGACCAACTGCACATCAATCCAAAGAAAATTGAATGCAAGAAGTGTAAGGGGGTAATGATGCATCCACTTTAGTGCCATGGATGTCACTAGAACTATTGCTAGAATTGTTATGAAGTTAAGATTCTTGAAGATGGAAGACAGTTCTTAGAATGCCCCAAGGGATGCCTGAATCAAAATTTGTAGGAACCTAAATATCTTTAAAAGAATTTAGCCAAATTCAAGAACTTCATTGTCAATTGTCAGAATAAAGAGAAAGGATGTCAATCCTAGATGAATTTACAAGAGCTAGAAAAGCATCTCCATAGTGAGTGCCAGTATGAGAATGTGATGTGCTCAAATTTCGGATGCTTAGAGGAGATGCCTAGAAACTAATTTGGAGAACATGACAAGGCTTGCCAATATAAGACAATTAAATGTGAAAAATGCGAGACAATGATAGTCAATGGTACAGAACACGATTGTGTCATAAGTTTAAGAAAAAGGTGTGAACTTATAGAGGCCAAATTATTAGGCTTAAAGGATAAAATGGAAGTTGAAAAGGAAAAGCATAAATCTGAAAAGATACAAAAGATCCAGAGATTTGAACTTATATTACCTCAGCTAAAAAGTATATATTTCAGACCTGATTTCCACGTGCAATCAAATAGTGCATTTATACTTCAGCAGGATATCAGAATGATTCCAAAAGACACTTAAGCTCTAATTCTTAGATATACTTTAACTGATTTGAATGTCAGAAGACTTATTAGATCTTTCTAGATATCACAATAAGATGATAACAATGTAATAGAATTAGGAAACTATTTCACAATAGGAACTTAATCTATTCCATAAATAGGAATGTCTACAGAAATACTTATGCCTTGGGATATGTCTAAGTCATAAACTTTAAAAGCAAGCATTACCCTTCACTTTCATTAAAACCCAAATATTTTTATTCCCAATGTATATCAATATGCCTCAATTGTACTGGCTGGAGTTGTTATTTGAACTGATAATTATTTTCAATGATTGTTAAGCTTAGATTTTATTTAATTAAAAATTTATAATTATCTTCTAGAATTAATTAATATTTTAATGGGTTGCAACGCTAGTAAAAATATTACTATTTCGAACAATTTGGCTTTTTCTAACGGGAAGATAATACAGAAGGAAGGAAATTATTTCCTTGAGCGAAATCGATATCATGACAAATTGTTACCAAAGGTTTAGAAAAAGTTTGAGTCCTTTCTACAAAAGTAAATAGAGCAGCTCAATAACGATGCGAAGAACACCCATGAGCAGAAAGCATTGAAGAACTAAAATTCGAAAAAGACGAAGGATAAGCCAAGAAGATCTCATTCAAGAGAGGGTCATAGAAAATCAATGATGGTCACTGATCCTCAGAAAAAAATGGACTTAAGTAATTAGCTCAACTTGGTAGATGATCATAGCCACGATTAAAATACAAGAGATAACTCCTTATTAATTCCAATCACCTAAAAAAGAAGGCCCTCTGAGTCTAATCCATCTGATGACACAAATACAAGAGACCCAAATGACATTAAGAAGATATAAAAGATAGCTAAGTAAATTCAATAGCATGAATCAGCTTAATTGAGTGATTCAGAAGAAAATAAAACTCCTAGTAAATAAAAGCAAATCAATACGACTCTAGAATAACCATAGTAACAAGGTAAATACTTAATCTTACATAATTTTTAGAAATCACAGTCAAAGTTAAAGAAGATACTAGTTTTTTAAAGAGAGAGTAAACAGATGTTTTTAAAAGTAAGTCTATTTTTTTCTTAAGTGACATAGAAACCCCTGTTCATCCGACAAATCTTAACTAAATGATTTAAGAGCAAAAACAAGAGATCATGGAAAAAAGAAAATCAATCTTAGTTATTGAGCCTGTTAATTTACTTTAGATTAGAGAAGAATAATAAGACGGTAAAACAAATGTGAAGAAAGTAAGTTAAAAGCTACTAGAGACAAGATAACTTTAGCAATAGAAGATTATATAGTAAACCCCTCCAATAAAAAATAAACTGAATTTATAAACAGCTGAGGATAAGTAAAAAGAACAAATTAGTAAGAGAGTGCTAGAGCATGAGCAGCTGATTCATAAAGCTGTATTTTCATAAGAATCAATACCAATAGGAACATAGCCTTCTCCTAAAAAACGAATAGATAATGAATCCAAAAAGCTTCACAAAAGAGCATAGTCTATTTCATCAGTTGGGGCAAAGGATAGAGATTCTAATAGTGTATCAGACAGTGATGAAGAAATGCTTTAAAAGAGAGATTCTATAATTGATCATCAATATAATGAAATAGTTAATGAATACAAGCAAATAAGTTAAAATGTTTCAAAAATTACAAAGGATGTTAGTGGAAAGGAAGAGATTGATTATTTGATAGTTGAAGATAGTCAGAGTGAACTAGAAAATAATGAATGATTTACTACAGTATAGTATACACCAAGCGTTTTAATATTAAATTTAGATTTAACATAACATCCACATCATCTACCCTCCTCTTTTACTTTTTGAACTTCGAGTATTAAGGGGTTTTGGGGTTTTGGGGTTTTGGGGTTTTGGGG